GAGAATTGCCTGAACCCAGGAGGTGGAGGTTGCGGTGAGCCAAGATCTCGCCATTGCACTCCAGCCTGGGTAACATGAGTGAAACTCCGTCTCAAAAAAAAAAAAAAAAAATTTTAACTTTTCCTAAGAGGCATGTGTACATCTTACAGTAATAAATGATAAAACACACTAATATCTACATATGTTCTATGCATTCATGATATCTTTTTCTTTTTTCTCTTTTGAGTCTCACTCTGTAGCCCAGGCTGGAGTGCAGCGGTGCAATCTCAGCTCACTACAACCTCCACCTCCCAGGTTCAAGCGATTCTCCTAACTCAGCCTCCCAAGTAGCTGGGATTACAGGCAGGAGCCACCACACCCAGCTAATTTTTGTATTTTTAGTAGAGAATGGATTTCACCATGTTGCTCAGGCTGGTCTCAAACTCCTGACTTCAAATGACCCACGCAAAATTCCAGCCTCCCAAAATGCTGGAATTACAGGCATGAGCCACCGCATCCGGCTCCCTTTTTCTTAATTTTTTGTTATTTCTAGGCTATATAATTGGTCTGCGAATTTTTTCGAATTGTGGCAAATCTTCAAAAAAATTTCCAACGTATTTATTGAAAAAAATCCACCTGTAAGCGGACCTGCACAGTTTAAATGAGTTGTTCAAGTGTCAGCTATAGTAGTTTGGGGCCTGCTTGAACAGGAGGATCTCAAGAGGGTTTCCATCAAAGGATGATGCAATCTCAGTTGAAACAGGATGGAAGTAAACCATACAAGAGCTGGGGAAGGCGGTGCTATGGTCTGAATCTTTGTGCCCCTCAAAATTCATGTGTTAAATCCTAACCCCCAAGGTGATGGTATTACATAGTGGGCAGGTCTTTGGGAGGGGATCAGGTCATGGGGGCGGTGTCTTATAAACTAGGGCTGAGGGAGACCCCCGCCCCTTCCCCCTTGTGAGGATGCAGCAGAAGTTGCCCTCTATGAGCCAGAAAGTTTTCTCCAGACATGGTATCTGCCTTGATGTTAGACTTCCCAGCCTCCAGAACCATTAGAAATAAGTTTTTCTGTTTATAAGCTACCCAGTCTACAGTATGTATTGTTGTTATTGTTATTGCTGTTGTTGTTTTGAGATGGAGTCTCGCTCTTCTTGCCCAGGCTGGAGTGCAACAGCATGATCTCGGCTCACTGCAGCCTCCGCCTCCAAGGTTCAAGCGATTCTCCTGCCTCAGCCTCTCGAGTATCGGGGATTACAGGTACCTGCCACCACACCGGCTAATTTTTGTATTTTTAGTAGAGACGGGCTTCCACCATGTTGGCCAGGCTGGTCTTGAACTCCTGATCTCAGGTGATCCGCCCGCCTCTGCCTCCCAAAGTGCTGGGATTATAGGCGTGAGCCACTGCCCCAGCTCCAGGCTACCGTATTTTGTTATAGAGGCCCAAATAGACTAAGGCACCTGGCGGGATGGGAGAGAAGAAATGTCAGCAGGAGGCTGTGAAAACTGTCAGCCTGGGGAATTGCCAAAGAACCCACACAACCCCCCCGGGAGACAGTCCGCTTTTGATAGCTGCCACTCCCAGAGGGTACAAACGCCAGACCACAACCTGAGATTTTACCATCTGAAAAAACTCCACAGCTCCTCACCCCAACGCCCCCACCCCCACCCCCATCAACCTAACAGAAGCCAGTGAGGGAGGGGTTGGAGCAAGGTCAGAGAAAAGAAACTCACCTGGTTTCTGAGTCTAAATAAGACCAGAGCAGCGGGGAGCAGAGAGATTTTAAAGTAGATGAGAGTTTAAGGTTTGGATTAGGGTGGACTTTTTATTATCTGAATATGACCAGGAAAGCTATGAGATCTACCTGTAATTTCACCCAGGTGAGGAAAGGGTCAACAGAATGGGTCAGAAGGGGGAGCTGTGAGAAAAAAAGAAAATTATCTTTTGCTTACTCTCTACCAAGTTCAGCCTCAATAAGCCCTTAAAATACATTTGAAATTTTGACAGACTTCCAAGTTTTCCTTCAAAAAGCCTGTATCAGGCCAGGCGTGATGGCTCACTCCTGTAATCCCAGCACTTTGGGAGGCCCAGGCGGGAGGATCGCCTGACGTTGGGAGTTTGAGACTAGCCTGACCAACATGGAGAAACCCCATCTCTACTAAAAATACAAAATTAGCTGGGCGTGGAGGCAGGTGCCTGTAATTCCAGCTACTCTGGAGGCTGAGGTAGAAGCATCGCTTGAACCTGGGAGTCGGAGGTTGCGGTGAGCCGAGATCACACCATTGTACTCCAGCCTGGAGACAGAGTGAGACTCCGTCCCCACCAAAAAAAGCCTGAATCCATTAGGATGCCTTTAATAGTGTGAGAAAGTGCTAACTTTTCCACATGTTCATATTCATATCTAATCGTTCTAAATTTGACTGATATCATGGTCTAAAAATATCTCCTTGGCCGGGCGCAGTGGCTCATGCCTGTAATCCTAGCACTTTGGGAGGCCGAGGTGGGTGGATCACCTGAGGTCAGGAGTTCAAGACCAGCCTGGTCAACATGGTGAAATCCCATCTTTAAAAATAATAATAAATAAATAAATAAATAGAAATATCTCCTTTTTATTATTATTTTTTTGAGACAAAGTCTTACCCTGTCACCCAGGTTGGAGTGCAATGGCGCGATCTTGGCGTGATCCCAGGTCAATCAATTCTCCTGCCTCAGCCACCTGAGTAGCTGGGATTATAAATGTGTGCCATCACACCCAGCTAATTTTTTAGTATCTTTAGTAGAGACGGGGTTTCACCACATAGGTCAGGCTGGCCTCAGGATCTGCCCGCCTCGGTCTCCTGGGATTACAGGCGTGAGCCACAGCACCCAGCCTAAAAATATCTCCTTGATGTGTCTTTTACTTCCTTGATGACCAGAGTGTTTGAACACCTTTTATGCTTATTGATGATCTGTAGTTAAATCTTGTGAATTGCCTGTCCATATATTTATTCTATAAGGTTACTTATATTTTTATTGATGATTTATGAGTGCGCTTTATGTAATGTGTAATGTAATCTGGATATTAGGATTGATTCACAATACTCTGGATTCAGGGGGTAGGGATTTCTCAGAATAGAAATGGCCAAATTTGCCATCATGGTTTAAAATCATTACACCAATACCTATCTTTCATCCCGAAACTGTGTCTTTTTTTTTTTTTTTTTTGAGAAGGAGTCTTGCTCTGTCGCCAGGCTGGAGTGCAATGGCGCAATATCGGCTCACGAAACTTCTGCCTCTTGGGTTCAAGCAATTCTCCCGCCTCAACCTCCAGAGTAGCTGGGATTTCAGGCACCCGCCATCATGCTCTGCTAATTTTTGTATTTTTGTAGAGATGGGGTTTCACCAGCTTGGCCAGGTTGGTCTTGAACTCCTGACCTCAGATGATCTGCCCGCCTTGGCCTCTCAAAGTGCTGGGATTACAAGCAGGAGCCACCTCGCCCAGCCTCAGAATTGCAACTTAATCTCTATGGCAGTTGCTTTTTTGTTTTTGAAGTTCATGAGCACGGGTGGCTGCCGCTACCTTTGCCCTCCACTTAAGCAGGAACAATTCAGAAAGCAGACTCCACCCAGTTCTGCAAATCGCCCCACTTATCAATGACCCTGACAGAATTTCAGGAGTGGCAGGCCACTCCAAACTGCAAAAAGTACAGTTTGCTTATAATCCCCAGGAGGAAAGAATATATCCAGCTTCTTCTGGGTGCAATCATGGCCACAGGAGGAAGGAATAGCAGGAAACAGAGTGAAGGAACAAAGTTCAAAACTTGACTTTCCACTTGAAAGTTCTCTCCCTAATCTTAAAATAAAATCTAAAGCTTAAATTATAAACGTAGCTGCCTTTCCCTCTTGGTACCCTTTCCATTGTCCCACAGGTAAGCTTTGTCTAAAGAGTAGGGTTAGGCCTAACTTGGCTCACAAAAGACTATTTCTACAAAAGGAACATGAAGAAGCAATGGTTAATCAGCACATGAGTAAATTCCAGAATACAGAAGTCCATGGATGGGGACATGTGCCTGGAGGACGAATCACACCTGCAACGTAAAGAACAAGTTCTGGCTGGGTGCAAGGGCTCCCACCTCGAATCTAAGCACTTTGGAGGCAAAGGCACGTGGACCACTTGAGCTTGGCAGTTTGAGACCAGCCTGGGCACCATGGAGGTTGGGGGGGGGGACATCCTTACAAAAAATTTAAAAATTAGACACTGCAGTGGCAATTTGCCTAGAGTCCCAGCTACTGCGGAGGTCGAGGTGGGAGGATCACATGAGCCCAGGAGTTTAAAGCTGCGGTGAGCCACGATTATGGTAAAGCAGGAGCGGCCGCGAACAAACCTTCCAAGGAAGTGGCTTTTTATTTGGCCGGGAGTCTCAGCAGACTCCAGTCTCAAGAACTGAGATCCCCAACAAGAAAATCCTGGCCTCTTTTAAAGGCTCACAGTCTTAGAGGGTACATGTGAGAAGGTCGTGATCGATGAGGTAAGTGAGGGGTGCTTGACTTAGGTGGGGGTCTAATCGTGATTAACCAAAGACAATGCCTTCCGGGGAAGATTCCTCCACACCATGCCTGTGATCTATACATAAGATAGGAACTGGGGCGGGGAGAGGTGGGGGAAGGTGGGGGCAGGTGGGGGGAGGTGGAGGGAGGGTGGGGGAGGTGTTGATCCTTAGCCTCCAGTCCAGCTAGTGGCACCGGTTTCGCCTCCTCCACTGACCTTGTGCCTTCTATTTTCAACTTTTTCTTCTTTTGAAATGCAAGGCTAAGGGGAAGTGGTCTTAGAAGCTTAAGAGGAAGGAGTCTCCTTCCTCAATTGCAAACCTGCCCTCCAGCCTGGGGAATAAAGTGAGACCGCCCCCCAGTGTCAAAAAAATAATAAACTAAATAAAATAAAGAGTAAGTTCTTAATTGCGGCTGAAAGTACTGGCAGTTTGTATCAAGATAAAGTGTATGCTTACTGAAAAGAACTCACGCCTACCCTCTACCCACGTACATTTTTTCTTGTCCTCTTCACTCTTGTAGGAATAAAGCTTCTCCACCAGGTGATTGGGAAGCAGCTTGTGGAGGTTAGACAGCGCCTCAAAGGTGTGACACAAAACTTCTGGCTGGGCATAGTTTTTCGGTTTCTCACACTTGTCAAGGAGTGAAAATTTTATCACGCTGGATCTGCTGCTGGCTGTTCTCATGATGGCCGGTGGTGTCACAGAGAAGAACAAACTGAGAACACGAGGAGGCGGGGGGCTTGCAATTGTTCTCCCGGCAAGCTTTCCTCTGTCTCCAAGCCGAGGTGGAACGGACTTTCTGACCTCTTATTGCCCGGGATTCTGAGAGTCACAATGGCCCAGGTATTGGTCTGGAACCCAGCGTGCTCATCCTCCATTCAAAGCAGAGGAAATCAGCCCATTGAAAATATCCTGCCAAGTCATTCGGGGACTTTTGGCAGAAACTTCACTCTTGTGTCTGGACGTGGACAATTTCTGGGGAAAACTGAGAGCTTTGCTAAAAGGAAGAGGGGAAAGTGAGGGCGCAAATATCCAGTGATATTTTCCCATCTGGTACTTTGTAGAAGCCTTCCTCCCTGTATGTACCTAATTAAGGCTCCACAGACCTACGAGGCCCCAAGAGAGAGTAGTTACATCAGCACAGTTCTTAGCAGAGCCGAGGAAAGAGCTTCATCGTCCACAACTGAGGAAATGCCCCGATTAACACAGGTAAGAAGCCAAACTGCTTCTTATGCTCTTATCCACAGAAAACAAAGTAAACAATGCTCAACCAGAGCTTTCCCATTAGAAGCCATTCTCCATTGAAGACCAAAAAGCAGAGAACAATAGAAGTATTAAATAATCTTAAATCACCACACTTTTTTTTTTGAGATGGAGTCTTCCTCTGTTGCCCAGGCTAGAGTGCAGTGGCGTGATCCTGGCTCACTGCAACCTCCACCTCCTGGGCTCAAGCAATTCTCCTGCCTCAGCCTCCCGAGTAGCTGGGATTACAGGCATCTGCCACTGTGCCCGGCTAATTTTTGTATTTTTAGTAGAGACAGGGTTTCACCATCTTGGCAGGCTTGCCTCGAACTCCTGACTGCATGATCCACTTGCCTTAGCCTTCCACAGTGCTGGGATTACAGGCATGAGTCACCACGCCTGGCCTAAAATAACCACAATTGATAGCACAGCCCAGAACAAGCTAAAAGCTGCCAAGAACTAGTATCAGATTTGGAACAAAAATGCAAATAATAGGGTTTCTTACAGCTACTTTTAGATTTCAGCGTGCACCACCAGGAGCCAGCTTCCCCATAATTGCTCTACCCTTCATGAACCAGCTGGAGAACCACACTGCAGGTTGGTGAGAAGCAGAGAAGGCTTGTGAGCCTAGCATGCTATGGCATGCTATGGCAAACCCGGGAGTGTGGGCCAGCTTTTTACCAACCTTAAAAACCTTTGGCCAAGACTATTAAAGCATTACGATTATATCATATGATACTTTAGTGGCCAGAGCAGCAGATATAAAATTCCATTC